GAACACGAACTACAAGTAGCTTGAGGCGGCATCGCAAGATAGAGCAAATCCAAGATGGCGGACACAGATGGGAGTTGGGCCAGTCAGTGAGATCTCCGGCATTAGCCAAAGAATATCTGCCAAATTTGCACCGATTGGAAAATACACCAATAGAAAAATGTTGGTGCACAATTCTTACAGAAAGTACACTTATAACACAGTAATCTGAAGCAAAGTAGCATCCAGCACAAGGTGACTCAAAAATCCGCGGCGTCCGTAGGTACAGCCAATAACAAGACCCGGGAGAAAAAGAGGAGGAGGAAGCATTGCGGACGAGGTCGCGAGGGTAAACGGCACTCCGGCTGCGCATTCCTAATCGGGGGTTGCTTCGGGATGTCCACTCTAACCTTTGACTCAATAGTCTGACTCAGAAGGCAGTTGCTTACATGGAAGTTCTCTTGAGAGACTCCACGCGGAGCATTTTACTCAATAGCGTGACCCACAAGACAGTGGGGGCAATTCCATCTCGGTAGTGTTATTGCAGAGGCCCATTGGGATCTACTTAAGCTCTATCACACACAGCCTTTGAACCGTTGAAAAAATACACATGTTCTCCGAATAGTGTGATACATAACGGTAACCATGGCCGACCGCAAGTGCTTTTGGGTTTGCTCCAGTTTAACCAGAGGCTGCTTAGCTTAAGGCGGGCGATAGCAAGCCATTAAGCACCGGTTGGTGCGCTCCCACTATCAGAACCAATGCGTGGCGCTCGTGCTCTACACCAATCGGGATGTGAGCTTAAAATCCACAGACCTGTCGTCTTCTATAGCTAATTTTCAAAGGAAGATGACTGTCCACCTATTCGAAATCTCCCAGGTGGATTGTGCGACTGAGGTAGGATGACCCATAACTAGTGACGGGTGAGTGAGCCAGTGTGCAACATCAGGACAGGTACTGTGAGCCCATTGGCAATACGTCGCGCACCAAGCAGAAGTCATGTGTTAAAATTTGCGCACCTAATCGTCAGCCCTCGGTAGCTCAGGTGGTAGAGCAGCGGACCAGAAATTCGTGGACCGGGGTTCGACCCCCGTCGAGGCACATTATTGTGCGTGAATTTTGATCGTGACTTCTACTTTCTACAAACTTTACTCACGAACCTCCAAAATTAAACTATTGATTTGTTCGTTTTGAGGGACTCTGGCGGAACTTGCAATGTGCATCCCAGCGTTGTTCAGTGGATCACGGAGATGCGCAAACCATCGTTCCACATTAAGGTCCAGACTCGTCGCGAATGGACAAGTAGCCAAAAACACTCCCAGCTCTCAATTCGATTAAGGTACAACCGCTTACGTGTTTTTCGCTTTCCGGTAAATTGCCCACACGGGTATTCATTTCGTCATCCGTAACAAATATATATGTATTCCTAGGTATGCAGATAGGAGGTGAGTTACCATCGACTTACCGCTAGCTGTAGTCAGTGGTAGATTACTTCTTAAAACTGGTCATCAGCTGTGCTAGTTTTTCAAATGTGTCCGTGGTTTTTTCTGTGTCCATCTAATACTAATAATAATAATACGTATATTTCCCGATTGTACGAGAAGCTGTCCCTGGATTGTGGACAGATCATGGGTACAATAATTATCATGCTCATGCATGAGTGAGAGATCTAATATGGGGTGTATGATATCAAAATAATTTGGAATCACGTAACTTTTGTTGTTGCTGAGTTCTTTGTACCATCTTTAATCATTGCTTATATATTCTTTGGTCCATCCTGAAAGAACTCATGTGGTGATTTACCCGATGGAAACATGGTCATTATAGGATTCTGGTCAAGGAATATGCTAAGCTGAATGTGGTATGCTCTTGCATTTGTGCAAGACCTAATTGTGGCTGGTAGGCTATTCCACACGACAGCGTATTTGACGAGGAAGAAGTATGATCGGATAGCTGTCCTGGTTCTCGGCACACATAATCTACAGGTCTTGTTGCGGATATTCCGAGTGTAGTTATGCTACATTTTAAGTGTACACAGATTGGGGTATGTCTTTTGGTTTATGAGATTGTGTATCAGCATCAGGTTATGTTTCAGTCGTCGCGACCAAAGGGCCTCGTGCATAAACTGCTGGCAGCGCTCCTGATAACTAAAGGTGGTTGATTTACTAAACGAACTTTTAGTGAATGATCTTTGCAGGTTTTCTAAAGCTTTCCTGTCACCCATTTGCATGTTCCCATAGATGATGCTACAGTATTCAAGGACAGGAAGTGTAAATGTTTTGAAAAGCGAGTCTGGCAGGTGTTGTATAGATCCTACTGCCTATGTTAGTCACAGATAGTTTGGCACGTGCTATTTGATACTCAGCTTACTCTGAGAAAGTAAAGTTTGAAGAGTGTCGTATGCCGAGATCACGGTTAGATAGTTTCACACACATACGTTCATTGTTCAGTTTAACAGACTCTTCAGGGATTAAACAGCCGTGTGACATAATGCATGATTTACTAGCTGAGAATTTAGCATCCATGTGTTGCACCATTTTTCAAGTGAATCGAGGTCTTCTTGAGCGAACAGGATTGCGCTATTGAGTTCGTCTCGTTGAAATCCATAAACAATCTTTGTGTCCTCGGCGAACAAAAATGGCCTGTCATGTTTTATGGACACCGTGATATCGGTAATATAAAGTAGGCAAAGCGAAGGACCAAGTACACTCCCATTGGATGACATCACTAGTGATTAGACGTGGGGAGGAGTTATGATTACCCAGAGTGACTATCTGGTAACGCCCATTTAGGTATGATGTCAACCAACCAAATAGTGGGTCTCTGATTCCAAACGACTCGATTCTTTTCAGTAGCCGCTTGTGGGCACTCTGTCGAATGCTTTCTGCATATTCATGAACAGTATTATAACTGCATATTTCGAATCAATGGCTTCTGTGATATACTCCAGGTAGTGCAGCTGACACCTTGTACAGGAACGTTTGTCGACGAACCCATGCTGGGATTTATTAGGTAGCCCATGACGATAGATAAAGTCAATGATTCCACTTTTAACTAATTTTTCGAGTAATCTAGCGATGACAGGAGTATGATGGATAGGTAGATAATTAGTGACGTGCTGTTTGCTCCCCCCCCCTTTGTGACGAGGAACAATAGACGATCTTTTTCACTGATCCGGAAAGTAGCTAGATTCTAAGGACAAGGTAAACATGTTTAGCAGAAGCAGTGGTATGATTCTCTCCAGTGTTTTAGCTGGGCACAACTCTATCTCTAGCCATTTACTCTGAAACACGGGTAGATATCTCACTAATGCCTGAATTTCATTTTGATTGCTGATGAGTCAAGTTTCAGTGACAACATCGTTTCCCGTGGACCGATCTGACATGATGTAGGGATATTGATAGATTCATTGTGAAATCTAGCCTTTCCTTTTGAAGATGGGTTATATACTTTCAGATCTGCCTCTTTTTATGCGGTTCTGGTTGAACGGAACTTTATGGTACTTCCGAATCCCAGCCAAAACCAGAAGCTAACGCGTGGAGGCTAAGTTGTGTTACATGAACAGCTATCAAAACGGATATAAGTAGTGTAAAAACAATTACCATTTGTAGCCTAACTCAGGAATGTTTTCGTTTCCAAACATATAGATAATCTCCCCTGATTGGTAATTCAGTTCCGCTAGCCATTTGGAAGGTAGATGCTGCATCAGGGAGTGGGCACAAATGTTCCTGAAACATCTTAATGCTTCGGCTGTGCATCATTAGTTCAACTTGTTTTCTCATTGAAATAAGGAGTCTTTCTGGGAGATTCTACGTTCTGCTGGACAGATCCACAATCGTAAGGGGTTACAAAGTCAAGGGCGATCTGTCGTCAGTTAATCTAGGGCGGATAGTTTTGAATTGTTATATAAAGAGAAAAGTGATGTCCTATTTTGACCCACTCCATCTGTCATAATGATCAATATTGAGATCCGTTGTCCGCCGCTTTTTCGATCAGGTCCCTGTTACTCATTAAACGGACCGTGATTTGTTGTGACTGAAGTTAAGCTTATCCTCACCAATTTTTTACGCTTCACGAAGCACTTTTTATTTAAGGAATCTAAAATCATTCTTGCTGTTTCTTCTGTCTAATAATTGTCGACCAAATTAGAAGTGGTTCGGTGTTACTCCTCTGACACCCCATAACCGGTTTCGTCCTCTTTTGGACTCATCAGATGGAGATATCCTGAGCTGGGGTGGAACTCGGGGCCTAGTGCTTAAAGGCTGACACCTTGATCACTATGGCTCTAAGATCCGACCTAAGTAACCACATCGGTTGACTGTTTGGACTAAGTTCCGGTTTGTCCCTCTGACCTGAGGTATGCACGGTTGTTTCCAGCAGCCACTATCTTTCGCGACCTACACATGTATGTGCATTGTTGCAGCCTTCTGATACTGTGCATTAACACTCATTTACCTGCTTCTCTATTATTCCTTGTTATGCTTGCCTTTTTGATAGTTGCGCACGCATTCCGGGTCACGGTAATTGGGATACCGTGGCGTTCCATCTCTAGATACTAATAAAACTGTCTTTCTGCGCTACGAAGTTAGTAACACACTAGATGAGTCGCTGAGCCGAACGTCTGTTGGTTAAACATTCCTCTTTCACTATTCCACTCGTCGGAAAGTGTCATTTCACTCCGTATATTTCTACACATGTTTTAGTTTTTCGTCCTGAACAGGCTCCTTACTTTGTGCGACATCGTTTCTTCGCTGAAGCAGCATACGTAAAGTTCACGTAATCTTCATTTAATTTGTCCATTGACTTTTCTTGGGTTATTGCTGGTTTGACGTTATACTCGGAGCCGCGTGCCTTTAAACGAGCATATTATGCTGTAAGCCGTTGTCTTTTCAATACTACCCACCTTTTCGATGCCTCTATATGGTCTCATCTTCACATTTCATGCACAATTTCCCTAGTTCAAAGCGACCCACGTATCCACGACTGACAGGACTTCTTCTTTTCGTTTGTTTTAATACTACTAGGTCACAGTTACAGGAAATGCAGGATAAGGCGAAGCAAATGGAGGAGCGTATATTGTGCGTTTGCGGGACTAGTGATTTCGATCAGCAACTGTTAAAACTGCAAGAGAAACGAAAAATATTGGAGGAGTGAGTATTTTGTGCATTTCGATTCTCTGTGTATCATTAACACCACTATGCTTTCCCAGACTTACTTCTGTCGTTTTTCGAGTGTGCCTACCTGGTGATCAACCACCAGCACCTAGAAATGAATCACTCACCCGAAACGACTGACTCACAAAATGGGAGGGGTAATTTTGTATTATCGAACTGGTGTACAGTGCGAGGCTGTGGGGGATTCAGATTCTTAGTTCCCCAGTTCTCTTTGGTGCCGCCTACCCTTAAAGGCCTTGGTGTACCGCCTCCCAAACTCTACACCAAAACTAAACGACTGTTTTTAGATGTACTCTAAATGGAAATCGCACTCACACCCTTATCGTAGGTGATTTCATCGTACATTGTTTAGAAACCCCTGCTATGGTCGAAGATCACTTTAAGCCTGATCTGCAAAAGCTCGTAACCAGTATTCCGCTTTACAACCAAGGCACTTGTCCACTAGGTTCAGAACAGGTTACAGACCATCTGTACTTGGATGTTGTATTTACCAACAAGGAAGGTAAGATTGATGTGCTAGTTGTAGATTGCCCTTTGGGTCGCGATGATCATGCACGTATCAGTTTCCACTTCGTCTGCTTTGCGGAATATCGAAATGAGAACCATTATACACTACGATCGATCAGCTCATCTTGTCAGTGCCACAACCTGGTCGTTCCTCATCAAAGACCCCCTGAATGTCGCCTGGCTGGAATTCGTCAGTAAAGTTAACCGACTGGTTATGGATGCTACAGATACCAGAGTTTGCAGTGGGCCTAAAACAGTTTTTTTGTTTATGGGCAGAACTCGAAAGTGGATGTCAGTACTCCACGCAGCTTGGCGAGCGTTTAGTTTAAATCCAACTCCAGATATTTGGGATTACTACGTAGCCCAGCGTAACCACTGCATTCAACTGCTCAGAGAGGAAAAACTCGAATATCAACCGAACATGACTGGAACTTTTAGCGTTGTACAAGCATGTCACTGGCCTTCGTAAACTGAGGAAGAGAATTCCTGCATTATGGACAGCTGATGTCCTAATATTAAGAAAACAGCTGTTAGACATTCATTTTTTGTGAACGAGCTTAATAGCTATTCTTTACTCTTCCTATTTTCCAATTCTTGACTGTTGTTTAGACGCTCTACTGGGTTAGCCCGATTGGTACACCCACGTCATTGTTAATGGACGCTCATCGTCATGTTAATTTCATCAGTGCCATTTGCGAGAACACATTCCATAGGCTTTTTCTTCTCATCACTGTTCTACTTGGTTATGTTAGAGGAATATTTAGTTGTCACGCGATTATTGTACTAGTTTTCAATTCTTGGCTCTACATTTCTTACTCTCGTTTGTTTCGTGACATTTGTTTAAACGTTTCATTTCGTTATTCTGATTGGCCAGTGCCCGTCACCGTAAATGGATATTCGCTTTGCGCTTGGAGTCCCATGATGCTATTTTTAAGCACATATGCGATTCGCTCTTGAGTACACGGTTGCTTATTCGCCCATTGCATTTGACGTTTTTCCTTCTGTTGGTTGGCTCAAGTGTAATTTAGTAGCTTCCCTTCAGTTTGTCTTCAAAACTATATAAGCAACTGTGATTTCATGTATACAAGTCTCCTTCTGGCTCGTCTTTGGACTTCTTCTTGCGGTCGTGGGGTGAAGGCGTCAGCGGCGACACAACATCTAACAACAGCGACCACAGAAGCAGCACATGCTTTGGGTACGCAATATACTCCTACCATCAGGCGATCTACCACTTTTTGTTTGCGCCGCCGAGACTCAACTTCATCTTCTTTAATACTGAATCTGTCTCGCAAAATGTGACGTCTCTGCGCAATCACAGCTCTCTGGGTGTCGATACCACTCACTCAGAAGCAATAGGAGCAGCATCAGTATAACTGTTAGAACCATTTTAGCACTTCTTTCAACGCTGCTTAGACAAATACCGGGTTCCTTCCATATGTAAGTTTGGGATAATAACTCCGATTCACAAAGGTGGATCAAGACTGAGCCCTCAAACTACCGCCCAGTATCTTCTCCCTTTGTTGTCCAATGCCATGGAGTTCATTATTGCTTTCGAGCGACGCGGCTTTCGTCGACAGCGTTTGTGCACCACGGATTTATTAAGCGCACGAAGTAGTTGAATCGAGTCAGGTGATACTGCAGTGGCAATTCATGTGATCTACTTGGATTTGTCGAAGGCATTCACTCATTTGGATCATCGGATTCTCCTTTCCAAGCTCCAGTATTTCGGGATCAGCGACGCTCTCTGGAGCTGGATTGCCACTTTTCTCCTTCAGCGACAATAAGTGGTCAGATTCCAGAGCTGCTTATCTGACCACTCACAAGTCGAGTGCGGTGGGTCTTTAAAGCACAAACAATCTTTTCAAGTTTCCTACTGCTTGATAACGACATAAAGATATGGCACAGAGTTCAGGCAGACGCGCATTTGTTTCAGTGTGACCTAGATACGGTCAACCTAAAATCTGCTGAAGTTAAAGGTAAGCGAATGCATAGTAGTCTCCATACGACACCAGAGTACTTACTGCTATAGGCTAGGAGCGCAGCTATCTGCCGTCAGACGTGATCTAGACGTACTAATTCAGGATGACTTAGATTATTTCTGGCAATCCGAATAGGCATCGAAAACTGGTAATCAATATGTCGGTCTGTTGCAACGGGCGTTCGGACAAATAAACTCTATTTTCTCACAGATGCTCTATGCGTATGTTCGCCCTCATGTCGAATACGCAATTCACGCTTGGTATAAATGGATACACTACGACATCACTGGAGAACTCTCAACTTCGAACTTCCGAGTGCGTCAATTTAATGCGCAATGTCAACTAAGAGTAGAAGCTGAAACGTTTGGGAGTATTTGGCGGACGGTACCACCGATTACGACGCGACCTTGTAATGAAACACTTGATTTCATGCAACCCGAATCGTGTGTGCCGCTCTTTACTGCAATCCAGCAGTAACACGAACTTGAGGAGTGACTCCTTGAAACCTGAAGAACAGTACTGCCGCCTAAAGTGTGTCACCCGTGGTACGCCGCCCCCCTCCTATCGGCCGTTTCTGCATCTATACTAGCAATAGTGAAAAGTAGTTTGGGTGATGCACTCAGCCACTTACATTTTGTAACTTAGTATTATCTCTACGTTCTATTCCCGGGAAATATCTTGGATTTATACTTTGTCACCTGTTGGACCTATACTACTATGCGAGTACAAGCCTACTGCATTAAAATCGGTAAGTCCATACTTATTTGGCAGTGAAAGTACTCACTGCATTTTTCCGTTAACCTTTTTCTGTAACTCACCAGACCACCCAACGGGGCTTGCAAAGCAGTGTTTTTTGTAACCCGTATAAGTTGTTTAGTTGAATGCTCTTGCCGCACATCGGATGCATCTAAGGGATTCATGATCAAGTGAAGTTCACATCCATCAGCTTTGACAGATTGTTAACCTTGGACACCTGATCACCGCTAGGATTTTCACGTCATGCGACGTCGCATTCAGTGTTTCATGTAGTCTTCATCTTTTTGGTCTCAATGGCCGTGGGAGCTCAACTTTACTGGTTACTTGCATTGCCTGTGTATAACCTCGAGCGATTGTTATCCTTCTTTTGTTATTCGCTCATGGACATGTATATATGCTTGTTTTGTTACCCGCCACCATAATTCAATTTCCATCGTCGGCTCAATGCTCGCATGATTTCCATCCAATTTCGCAGAGAGTGCGCAAACGGGCAGGGTAGCCTCTATCTATGGCGCCGGTTTCGTGATCGCATTGCTCGCTCAGACCCAGATTGCCCCGTCTGTCACAGAGACCTATCAGACTTGCGAGAGCAACAAGAGCTGCTCGCTGAGGTATTTACTCATTGTCCACCTTCATGCTTTTTAGTCTGTCACAAAACCGTTGAGCAAAAAACAATTATTTGTCCATAGTACGCGAAACTGTTCCTGCATACGAGCAAATCATCAGAGACTAAGTTACTGTTCTAACCCATGGACAAATATTGGCAAGCTAACTGATGTGTGACCGATGGTAGAATTCCATCATTTCCAAAAGTATCAAACGTTCGCTTTGCGCTCGCATATCCTCTAAGGTAAGGATGGAGTAAGCTTCTCGGGAATTCACTTCGATATAAATTTTTAGGCGTACCGCACAGCGATGTAAATCTGTTGCGAGTTCATTTTATATGTAGAGATATAGTAGAAATTGCATTTGTACTAGACGTAGGCTGTCAGAAACTATGAAATGAATGTGTGCCATAAATACAAAAATCCCAAAGAGAAGAATAGATAAAAAGCCGTTTTTGTGTTTCTACGCACCATTTTAGTTTAAGGATTACAGGGTCGATCAGTAAAATCAGTGCACAAATTCATACAAATCTTCCTTTGAGCCCTATTCCGCGCCATCTCAAGCGTTTCCAGCCAGCAGTGTTCTTAATCATTTGCCCCCAGCCCGGAAGATGTACGGGACCGACGGTAGCTAAACTGGAAGTTAGCACCTTGATAGTTGTCGCCATGATGTAAACTGCCTACGGTGCGATTTATTTCAGTACGGTCCTCGCAAGCGAACAGAGCACATCGGAGCAGTCGCTTGCACGGCATGCATAAGACGTGACTCAACCATCTCAGTTTGCCCAACGGTACTAGCTTATCGAGAGGGAGGCTCCTATTACCCAAGACGCGATTTCTAACATCGTCGTTGCGAACTTGATGCTCCCACCACGCATGGGTTATCGTCCGCAGACAACCGTAGTCGAAGGCCAAAATCCGACGCGAGCGATTTACACTAATCGGCCAAAATTCGCTTCCATACAACAGTACCGCGCGAACACATGTATTATAGACCTTTATCTTTAGCGAGAGTGAAACGTCACGACGACACCACAAGTGGCTCAGATTAGCGAAACTACCGGGCTTTAGCAGTGCGAAGAGAAATCTCCTATTAGTGTCATCAGCAGAAACCCAGTTCCTCAGGTAGATGCAGCTATCCAGTTGTTCAAACTGTGTGACTTTCCGTTGATACGGGCAGGTGGATGCCAATCCTGGTGTAGGGCTTTGCATTTCAGTAGGAAATAGGTCATGTCATACTTGGTAACTTCAATCACCAAGCGGTTTAGAATTATCTGTATGCTCTGTGGGTCGTCAGCGAGCATGGCAATATCATCTGCATCGTCTAAGACAGTCGCGCAGTTGTCTGGAAGAAGTTATAAGGTAGAATTCTGAAGACCTTCCAGAGCGCTCGGTAGGACATCCTCAATCGAAAAATTGAAGAGAAATGAGGACATGTGGCATCCCTGACGTCCAACTATAGTGACGTCGAAAGGTCGATGGAGCTTTCTGTAAACCGCCACTCTACCCTAAACATGGCTGTATAGTGCTCGGAAGATGGCAGTACACCTTTCCGGTGCCCTCTTATTTGCGGAGAACGCCATAAAGCAGGTCGGTCGACCGAGTTGAACGCAGCTCGGATGTCGACAAAAGCGAAACTGTTTGGCTGGCGGTCATTGTGTCGATGCTTGGGAACTTGGCTGGGCGTAAACACGTGATCCACAGTCCTCGACCGGAACGGAAACCAGCCTGTTCTTCACGAGAGTGTAGTTCTCGAATCGGTATGATTTTGAGGAGTAGAATGTATGTTAGCAATTCAGAGACAAGGGACTTCAGATTGATTTTCTGTGATTGGTTTTAAGGTACAGGCATCCTTCCTGAAGATCGTGGCGATATTCTACTTGCCCCAAGAAGATAGCACCTTTTCTTCACACCTGATCTTTAAGAACAGAGCCGTTTACTGGTTGCCAATTGGCTGGCCACCGTACTTACCACCTGGAGATTAATATCTTTAGGGTGTGGGAGTTCCCATATGCATACGAGGGCGTTCACGCACACAGTTGCTTGATCACTATTCGTATGCTTGTTGGCACTTTGTTGGTGTTTCGCGGCGAACGTCCTAGACTCTTATCTAGCGGGAATCTCTGAGTACCTCTGCTGGTGAGCAATATGGGACACAAGGTGAACCATGGTAGTGCCTGGAGAGATAATGTTTAGGGATGAAAAAGGAACTGGTCTCTATTACATTGAATAATCGACGATTGTAGTAACAGTTCCGAAATGACGAGACTGCGTATATTTGGGAGTCAGAATAGTGAGAGTTAATATAGCTTTCCCCTCTTCGATTTCCATATGGGCATAAAAGCTCCGAGGTAATCTTGACCGATTAGGTGATGCTTGAAGCACTTTCCTTGAAAGTCCGTGGTCTTGTCATTCGCACAGCTCACTCTACAGTATACAGGAGGAAAATTATTATTGAAGCGTGGTTTTATCTGGTCACGCCTCCTCGGGGTCTCAGATTGGGTACACATTTTCGGAATGTTATGGTCCGCCAAATGTATGGGGAACGACGCGGTAAATAAATGAATTTGTTTGTAGGCTACTTCATCTCCCTTTTGCGGGTCTAGTCCTTATACGTTTACTACCTGTTAAATCATTTATTTGTAGTTTTGCTTAACCACGCTATTCTGAGGCTGTAGTCTGGTAGAATTACACAGCGCATCTGCCTTTTGTATTCTTCTTGATGATAGTGTCACCTATTAAAATGGTTTAGATTATGACTGACATGACAAGATCTGCTCTCGAGCACGTTTGTACGCCGTCTGTTTGGCAAGTACTGGTGATTAGCTACTCGAAATCGCCGGACAGCGATTTGTCCGTTGATTTTACATGACTCTATTTTGTCTTCTTTAGAGTTTGTTACTCGCTTGCAACCTTTGTATCTATTTTCCAACTCTTCTTCAGATTGACGAAAGAATTCGCACTATGCCTGATGAATTTTCCCGAAAAAAAGCGGAACTGAAAGAACTGGTGAAACAACACGAGTCTTTGTTGGAACTACGACCTCTTAACGTTGATGTGAGCTTCACTGATCAGCAGTGCTTTTGTTGTATTTCGCAGTTCCATTTCTAATTTCCTCACTCCCTTCTCATGCTTCTGCTATGCTCCATGTACGCCATCACACTTTATGACTTTTATGCATACACCAATACTGTATCCTCGATATGGTTATATAGCTTTTATATTTTATCTGACCGTTATTGGGGGTCGTGGGTCCCGGGCCTTAAATTAGTCAAATTCATCTGCCACAGATGAGTAAAACGTTAGTGATAAGCGTTCTTCGATTCTTCGTTTTCTTTTTCTCCCTAAGCTAGGCTGCTGTCCGCGCTACCCTGCATTGGTTCATTGGGCTTAACTGACACCTGAACTGTGCTTTCACTGCATTCATCGATGTCCAGTTAGTCTGAAGATATCGAGACCATCCACTACAAGAGGTAGCCGCTCCTGAGCCTGTGGTATCTACTTTGTCTTTACTGCGAGGCGCAGTTTCAGCTCGAACCGGGTTTCAATTTAAATCAAATCTCAGTCTTTCTGATGATTGCCAATCGCTTTTCTACGTGCATGTGAATCAGTTTTTGCTTTATTTTATATGGACGTTCCCTGAAACTCCAATTTCTCATCTCGTATGTTTGCTTCCGTCTTCTGGTTCCTGTGTGGACGTATTACACATACCTTTCTATTAGCTGCATTGGATGGGCCTATACTTACTCTTGATATTCTTCCCTTATAGCTTCAGCGACTTCGATCCATTGAAATCCCTACCCTTCAGGCACGCTTACATGACGAAACGGAATCGCTGAGAAAAGCGATCCTCAACAGTGAAGAGGTAATTTGTCACGAAACCCTATCCACTTGCTACCGCTTCACTGGTGTCATTCCATCAACCACATCGTAACGAATTTTTTCCGTTTGGCTAATACTTTTGAAGTAGTCAGCCATCTGTTCGTGACGGTGCGGCGTTCCTATCCGTGGTCCGGGTGAAACATTATCTGCCTGCTGCCGTGATCCATTTACGTACCCACTCTATAGGTTGAGTGCTTTGCGACTGGTTACCAAGACTGTTGCTACAAACTCCCTAGTTATCGTCTCCAATTTACTCATCGCTTCGCGGATCCCCTACAGCGGCGGTCCATTTATCTACGTATCAGTGGCATTCCACAAGCGATTATATTAAAAAGTTTAGTTGCCAGTGATCTCAGCGGTCAGTCCCTAGGTTCTAGGGGTCCACTTACTTCTGTTACGACTTTACAGGCTCCATTGAGCGGATAACTTCATAAATACGTTCCCAGGTAAATTATATAAACAGTACGCTTCGCTGTCACACGACCACCGGCAGTCGCGCTCGCTAGGAGTACTACGCGGTCGCACATAGGCTCCAACTCATGACCATTGGGTTACAAGGCAGACGTCTCATCCTTTCGGTCGCCGGCTAGACTCGTTTATCTTCAATCGGTCATCCGATCACGGGCCTTTGTAACGAATTTGCAATCACCCCAAGCACCTTTTTACGGCAAGACTCCCAAAGACCACATCATCCTTTTTGTTTGTATTGCATATGCTTTAGGAGTCCGCGTGTCTGGAGACACATCAGTCGGACGAGGCTCTTGCAAGATCCGTTCAAGGGGATTTGGCTGTCCTTGAACGTGTGGAAAATGAACTTTTAGATTCCACTGTGACTCTGAAACGCCTCCAGTCGGAGTTGGATGCGATACCCGAAGGTGAGTTGTGGTGTCACTTCATGCACGCTAATTTTGAACCATTATCGTTTCATGCGATGGGTTCATTGTTTCCACTAAAGTAACTGCAGCGGCGGTTTCTGTATGTGATTCTGTAAGTTTCCACTTTAGCGTTGATGGTAGTTGCCTTTTCTACCTATAACCAGAGATCGAACTTTGTGAGTTCGTTCCGCGCTGGTGCATGCTTCAATTAAAGCCAATGTTGTGCAACTCCATTAGCGGTCTATTTTATCCCAAAATTTCATGACGGAATAAACGGTGTAACCTTGTGACCTTTCTATCCTCGGCACCCTTTTGAGCTGTGTTAGCATTCCATCAGAATGCTCTTCTGTCAAGCTCATTTGCCGTGAAGCTTGTCTGGTGTACTGGTTAGTATTGCGACAACGTGCTCCACTTGGCTGTCATGGACCTACATCATTTGTGTACCACAGCAATATCATCTAGCAAGGACGACGATTTTCCTTGTTTCGCTCTTTCTGCCATACCTGCGCGTGAGATGGCTCTACGAGATTTTCCACATTTGTTTTCTCGGTGCACTTGTCTCACTGACTTAGCCCTTATATCTCAACACACAACGTTTCTGTGGTATGCTTTCCGGCCACCATTTGAGAGCATGTTTTCACACAAATGCTGTGCTGTACCCTGTGCTTTAAGTTTTACCAAACCTATCGATATGTTGATTCATTACCTCCTTGACACGCAATCAACATCTTTTGAATCACCTCAAGGGAACCTGCTAACCGAGCACCCGTTTTATACATGCTGATATTTGTGTAAAAACACCGATGTTCTAGTTCCGTATACTATTGCACATTGTTATGTAGAAACAAGTAAAATCGTTTGAATTTTCTTCTCTCAGCTACGTCTTTGAACATTGATAACTTGCAGGAGCAGCGCAGGAATCTGCGTGCAAAACAGTAAGTTGCTATTCTTACTTACCATATCTGAAATCCACTTTAGCTTTCTTTGATCCCACTGAATACGATATATCCTCCCTGTTAACTTATCGCTTTACTTGTACTTTCACGTATTTCGCAATTCCTTGTCAATATCCCTATAGAAAGTCTCGCATTCAGTCCCTTCTACATATCAAGTACTTGTTGCCTGACCGTTCGAATCAAACGCTGTTAGAAATCATGGAAAATAACTCCTTTCCACTTCGTCCGGACAGTATCGTACAGTTCTAGGTTCTGTTTTCCCTCTATCTTTTTGCTGTTGCTGCAGATTTGCTGACACTTGCAGCGGCGTTTTGATGTGGACCTTATCACTATCACTTTAGTGAACTAGCGCTCCTAACGCAAGATTCGCATTACGTCAGCTCAGCCTATGTTTCACCTGCGAATCGTATGTGTTCGCATCGTTGCAATGGATCACTGCGCAACTAATTGGAAATTCATTGCCTGTAGTAAGACATTTCATTTTCTCGGTTATATCGGGCAGCTAGTGGAAGGTCCCTGTAGTTTTTCCTTGGCCTAAGCGCATACATTGGAGGTTCTGTTGTGATGCATACCTAGAGTCGATGAACAGCGGCTTTTTGCGTAGCGCGTTTCTATCCACTTGCCGTTACTTTTATGATATGTCTGCGTATGATTCCTCTACTTAGCTATTATCCATTTTACGGTTGGTCAGGAACACATAATTTTGTGGTGATTGTGGCGACATTTACGCTCGATTGGATGGCCTATCACGCATCTTTTCATGCCCATTTCACTGTGACACGGATGAGCAGCTTTTTCCCACATTTTGGTATTTTTTGGGTATACTAGCGGTGCAACCATCTTGAACCCAGGTTTGCCACTTGACTACCAGCTACAGCTTCGCCCCTGTGTCTAAGGTCCAAATAAACCCTTTCTACACAACCACAGAACACTCGGTCTGGGGAATTTTACTCCCCAAGCTGTGCACTTGCCATGCAGAAGAGGAAGATCAGGATTGCACCACCTGTCGCTTAATTCCCAGGTTGGGATTGGCTTCGGCTCCGGTTCACTGTGAAGATGAATATAGAACGCATCTGTTGATTGAACTTGAGTCGTCTTCACACGCACAGTATCTGTCACTTTGAACGAAGCGAGCTGATAACTGCTGGCCACCGTTTTGTTTTTTTTTATCTTATGACTTCCATTTAACCAGATGCTGTAGGTTTGACCGTGAGCAATACATTGGATTAGCCACACTCTTCTTGTGCCTGCCAGCACCCGCGCCCAAATGATCAACACTTCTGCATCGCTGGTGTCTCCTCCATTGATAACGAAACGTGTTATCAAACTGCTCAGGTCAACAAACAACAACAACAACTGTAATGACTGTGCGAAGTCTACTGTTTTCGGACACTACATCTGACGTGGGTCTCGTGTTACCGGTCGACAACTAATAACGGAGTATGGGGAAATTCACTCCATCACTTAGTCCGGTTACCTATAGAATCATCCATCACAATGGCTGGATACTTTAACTGATATGACTTACTTACAGAGCCAGCAACGGCTTCGCGTATGATCTCTTGTTTTTTATTAGCGCCCTTCAGCCCGGGGATTCCAGTTGTGCCTTGTATCACACTTTCATTTTTCCCAGTTATCTTTTTGACGGCGCTAGTCACGATCACCGGATTCATTTCACCCCTTTGTTTAGTGATTCAACTAACCAACCTGGTATCGCTAGTCAATATTGATACTCTCTGAAATTTGTGATAGTTCTGTCGGAAACGGTTAGGTGTTCTCTTGCCTAGTGGTGGAGTCCACATTGAGTTAACCAAACTACCAATAGGCGTGGATCGGTGTTTCATTATTATACCCTTCCGCTGATGCGTCGAACCGTGAGTTTTTCTATAATAATTAATCCGGCTATCCATGCGGTTGTATCCCGCATTACGATGCATGATCTCTGACATGCGTGAGATCCCGATTAAATGACTATATTGAAGCTTATTCACACTCTGTACCGTGATTGTCCTCGCTCACCCTCCCATTCACTGACGCACTACACGTTACTCAAGTAGTGGGGCATGAAACTGTACCAACAATCTCGGTTGGCGTGGTGGCTTAACGTCTCGGATGATGACCCAGCATCAGCGGGCTCTTGCTGCCCCCGCATAGAATTGTGTACCCGACTCATCCCTGTGGACTGAGCTGGTGACCTTTATCAACTTCCCAATGTCTGTTTACATTGTTCCACCTTGTACCTTCTTATTCTGTATACGTACCTTTCTCATGCACTTCACTTTCATTTCAAAAAGTTAAGGGTGACACGCCCACTTAATTAAGTTTTCAAGTTCCGTTTTTCTAAGAGGCTTGTGATTGGAGTTCCTTTGTCGCTGTGTTTATCCGTTATGTTTTTAGATCATCTTTCAGCGCAGAAATAAAAAAGTGTCGGGAGCTAATTGATCGTCTTGAGAAGGAGCGGCGCGAAGCAGTGGACAAGCTACATCACACGAGAGAACGATTGCACAAAGTGAGTTATATTCTGTTACATCCTCTATCTCTCCGAATACTGTTTTCCGTGCCATAGTTCTCGGTTACAGGTCGTCGACCAGACTACTTTCTGATTCAAATCATATCGACAAAATAAGCTTTGTACACCTTATTGGGAATATTTTTAACGATTTACACCAATACTGCGGACGTAATGAGGCATGACATTGATCCAAACTTAAACGCACAAGTGCATGTATGTCACTCAAGTAAACGTTCACGCTTGATATTGATAACTCTTGGTGTGCACAATGACTTGTACTGGATGCAGTGAGCGATAGTAGCTGGGCTTTCGGTTACCTACCGCGTGGTCGAATTGTGACACAGAATTTCTATTTGGACCTCCGTTTACTTCGTAATCTTGATCAATTCGACTAAGATAAATTTATGATAACAGACTATTGTAGAATACAAAACACTAAATTCAGAGTGCGTGGATGACTAGAAAAGAACTTCCGGTAAATCAATGTGCCGTGAAATTTTCAATGAGTTGTCACACGCGCCGAAATGCGTAGTAACAATGAAGTCTGTCAGAGATTCTCTACCCAGTCCACTACACCTGGAGACGGGCTTAATGGAATGCACATTAAGTGTAAAATCTTTTTGAGGATGACCAATGACAATGATAGGTGGATAGTACTACCAGAATATGAGTCTCCACGATTTTATGATTTAAACAATAGAGTAAGGAAAACATTTTGTCTCCCACGACATAAAATGATAAATTCCTTACCTAGAGGGGAACGTATCGTCAACATATGTTGACCGTGGTAGATTCTGAAACAAAAAATACACCAATTTATCTAACAATGGGTGGCTTGGCTGTTATGTGGGGGCTCACTATCTCAAGTGAGAAGTATTTGTCAAAATCCGTTGGTCAGTGCAGGGGAAAGAGAATGCCACGTCACGGCTATTAGAAGCCTTCCGAATAAACGGCCGAGATGGCAACCGCCGTTCGTGCTCATTCATCGCGCTTTGGAGGGTCGTAGCTGATTCCACACTTTGAACTATACTACCTAAACTAACTTCCTCGGCGTTAGCTGGAATAAGAAGCCTTTCGGTGAGTTACCAAGATAGAACGGCAATTATCCTTAATCTTAAAGGAGAGCTTTGTATTTGGGGTAGCAAAACGAACCCAGAAACGACTGACAGCCTTTGCAAATCTGTTCAGCGCTGCTTGGCACGTTTATGAACTGTAACGGATCAGGGTAATTTTGTCGACGTATTTCAACTCAAGGAGTCGATCACATGGGAGTAGGTCTGCATCTTCTACCTAGCATCCAGTAAACATAGTTCCTACAAATTCATCAAAGTCGAATTTGAAAAGAAAATGTGGTACTGGACATCCTTGTCTCATCGCTGGATATATTGTAGGGCTTGTCATAAGCCTCCACTGGGCCCGAACTGCACGCGTAAGCGTCCCTATAATTTTTTAGTATTACTCAGACAAACCTTTGTAGTTATAGAATTCTTAATAATACATCAATTCACTGATTCGCAGCCACCTTTGATATCGAGGAACACGATTACGGTAGGTCCCCAATATATGTGACGTTGCTCCAACAATTTGGCGTCCACTTCGACGAAACCCAGCTTGCTGCTCATGGATGTGATTTCCACTGGTACCAAACAGTGTATGGAGGATGACAAAGGCAAGTAACTTAGGGGCGATGAAGATCTAACTGGCACCTCTATGAGTACTGCATTCCGAATGCGAAAGGTCGTGACAATAACGGAACTACTTCAGTCGTCTGGGACAGTTTCCTGCTACCAAGTTTTCACTAATAGATCGTGTAACTTGTCCACGATATGAGGTACCCCAAACCTAAAGAGGAATGGAGCTCCGGCGGTCTTAGCCACTTTTAGCGTTTCGGCATCACCCTTAACTTCTGAGCGTGAGAGCGGATGCGGAGAGATGGTCCAGGAGGCCGCGCGATCACTGACTGTCAATAAAGCTGGCTATCCTGACCAGTTGTGTTTCAAAGTCATCGGCCCAAGGCTCCAACCGTTTTGACAGGTTGTAAATATATTGCAATATTGATTTGTTCACCAAGCTGAACATTTTGATTGCAAATGTTTGTCACCGGTGGAGCTGCTGTCTTCGGTGCGTAGTGCTAACTAGTTTTTCAATAGCAACAGAGCTACAGGTAACCCAGGAGATGGTTGCTGACGGCTACAGAGCTGACTTATATGTGATTGGGAGCATCTGGTTTCGGATTTGCCTGTCTCTGTGGCCAGCCACGACGCCGGCGCCTACTGAGGGACCATGGGTGGCTTGCGCTTCACTATCCACAGCTCTAATCACACACCCCATATCTAGTGTAAACCCGAAGGAAGAAGACCGGGAGGCATGTGAATGTGAGCCACGTTTCATCAACGGAGTCGTCCCACACTCCTTCACAGGCAAGCACGTTGTAGTTGGGGACTCAAGCGCACACAAGGCGGTCTCTGGCCCGTAGTCCGCTCCACACTGAATGCATTAAACAACTCTTGGAGCCTAGCACGGCTACAACGACCGTGCACCGCGTCCCCTCCAGCAACGACCAACTGTCTCCTGGAGCCAGTATGGACGAGGTAGTGGGTGATAGACAGGTAGGCACCTTGTCAACATGCACATCAAGCGCAGCCACCTCGGGGATATCAAGCAGCAGCCAATCATTTGAGAGAAAGATAACAAAGAAAATAAATCGAGTAATGCATAAGGAAACGGTGACATAAATCTTAAATAATGCGCGTTCCATCCTGTGTGGAACGGGCTACGGTCCAGCCACCGCCTTGTGTACGTCTGGTGTGTATGATTTCCCAATTAGGCCGGAATGCTTCCGTTCTGCTTGTTGAAGGAGTGTGGGCCGGCTCCGTTGATGAAACGTGGCTCCATTCACATACCTCCCGGTCTTATTCCTTCGGGTTTACACCGGATATGGGGTGTGTGGGTAGAACTATGGGCGGTGCAGCGCAAGCCACCCATGGTCCCCTTTGTAGGCGCAAGCGTCCTGTGACTCTCCCCATGGAAGTCACAGTGACAGGCAAATCCGGATACGGACGCCACCAAATCATGGACAAAACCTATTTTCTTAAGGCTAAGTTTGAAAGTGTTATCGATGCAATTAACTGAGAAAAGGTGTAGATGACAGCTCCCCACCACCACCCTGTATCGATACGTCCTGAACACTAACCGCCTGTTTTGTTCGTTCTACCTCGCTCGCTCCTTTTTCTGGTCAGCTGACCTATGCTACTACCTGAGTGTTCACTTAACTCTGTAATTCGACCCGGCGAACGACTGACTCAGGCGAAAGAACACCGATCGAAGAATGAGCCGATAAAGGCTCCATCTAACTCCGCTGCTTTGCAGGCTTGTAGTTTAGGTAATAAAAAGTATTGCCGAAAATCGCATAATTCACTGACCACTCACTAATGATTAGTCAGTGACGGGTAATCAATAGTGATTGACAGTTAGTTACGTGTTTGGATATAGATGGTTTTGTTTTTAATCTTGTTTGGTGACTGATTGATGACCCAATCCTCGTACCTCCAGTAAAATGCCATTTTACCTGTGTTAATTACTCCCGGGTTGAGAACCAATGGGTTAGAAGGACAGGACAGCTCAACGCTGTGTAACGATCTCAATGCTAACATAAAGCTTGAAGTTTGATGTATGGCAAACAAGCCGATGCGGCTATCTTAGAACATCATAAGAGAATCTACTGCAACTCAGTATTCGACACAACCACTAGGAACTCGTAAGTAGAAGAAAAAAGAATTAAGCGGCGCAAATTGTTCTGCTAACTAGACTGACCAAAATGACGCAGATATCGTACACGATGCATTGCTGGAGGAGAACATTTAGGTTGTATTCACTGATTATAGGAAATACACCCAAGCACAGTGCGTACACTAAGTGAAACGAGTGAACCTAAAGTAAACTGGTATTTCTGAATGGAAACTTTCTGCAATACGACGCAGAACCGAACTCAACAGTGAACGTCCTAAGAGATCACAAAAGAAGGCCTTGTCACAGAGTGTTGTATACATAAACACATTCATTCCACCGATGAGCAACATTAGGTAATCTGGAAAGGTATGATATATTGAAAGCAGTAAGTGGAAAGGTTGCGTTGAAACAAAAGCTGGCAACTTACCGATCGAGAGCATTATAATATCGTTCCAAGTCGGAGCAGGCCAATTGAGTAGTCTGTTTACGAAAAAAAGAGTGCAAGAGAAATACCCCCAATCGTAAACACACAATATAAGTTGGATGAAGGGATGTGGAGTATTGAGAGATGTGGTGGATGGGTCAGTGGAATAGCCAGGGCTCCTGTTTATCAATCCAACTGGATCAAAAGACAAAGGGACACCTTAAGCGCATCAATACCCTGTCAGCATTAGATACGTAATAAAGGCTTTGAAACAAGTCCTGATGTATGCAAAATCGATCACGTCATATAGTTTACTAATCCGACAGTGAGGAAATTTGGAAAAGAAATGGATGGTGGTGAAAGGTGACTACTCACTTTCAACTGATACATCATATCCAGATAGTCTTTATCAGCATCCGCATACTTCTCTCTCATATCCCGTTCTAGGTACTGTAGCTTGGCTTTCAGCTGTCCAATATGATTCATAACGGTTTGTTTCTGGACAGAATTAAAACACGAAACTGCATGATATCTTCGGACACGTTCGGTTCAGAAGACTATGCTCCCCCAGAAAGGCGATAAAATCACAATCAAAATATCACTAAGCGAAATCCGCGCCAAACTTGCCTCTGAAAGCAGCTTTTCCTCTTCCCGGGACAATGACTTTGTTTGAGCCAACAAATCCTGATCGCTCCCAGCGAAAGAACTAATGGTTTCCATACGTGAATTCAGTTGTGAGATACGAACACAGAGCTGATTCGATTGACTCCGCAAATGCCGTATTTGCACGCAATCGGCGAGCTCTCGCTGGCGAAGCTTTGAAATACATTGGAAAAAAGGAAATATGTGTAGAGAGAAATGAATCCAGCATGCGAATGATCAGCAAATGCTACCAATGCTTGATATCATAAGCATCGGGAGATTGAACGAGGAGTAGTTTGAGATCGGGTATAAGCTGAGTTTTCAGAAGAAAGCATCAGCAATACGCCGGTACGCAGTACCGATGCTTCGTTGCCGCGCAACCAGCGCGTCGTACGGGAGCCATGGATACTGTGAGGGTTACCCGGTCCCTTACGCAGGTTCGAACCTACGATGTCAATTTAAAAGGCAGGTTTGCAATCCTCAAGGCCACGTGCAGTAGACGTCTCACCGAGACCCGAAATTGGATCGCTAGCTTCAGAGTCCAGAGTGATAACCGCAACACCAGCTTTTCGCCGAAAACAAACCTGGATTATACGCCGACACAAAGCCTGGTCAAGTGGCGGAAACTAGTCACAAATGTGCAACATATTGCGCTAGGGTATCTGAGTGAGTCCCATCCTTCTCACTAGCGAAGAGAAAGAGGTGCCAACACACCTGTTGAATGGCATTGCAGAAACCGAAGTAATGTTGAGTCAGTTTTATTCAAAGGCTTCACGCAACCCAAGGAGTGGGAATCGGTTAAATTAAGCACAGTAGCTCAGTGCAGCGGATAAACAATATGTACCATGATAATCCAAGAACACATAAATGGTACTGAACATCCTCACCACTCTTAGTGCTGTACATGGGTTCTCCCAGCCCCACAAGTTGCAATAAGAATGTGGTGAAGGAAAGAAAGTCATCAGCAGTACGCTGGCACACCGTACCGACGCTTCGATGCTACGCGACCACTACCAGTCGCGCGCAAACTGAGTGTATCGCGTCTCTACGGCGATTCGAACCGATGGCCTAAGGACTGTAAGCCAGGTGTGCAATCCTTTCGGCTACCGGCTGACAGAATGTAACAACGACTTCCAAAAACGAAGAAACGACGTGGTTCCTACGAACAAGAGGTGAATAGCTGATTAGTTCAAAGGAATAACGTGGAGCAATGATCACGTTCGCAAGTTTTCAGTATAATGAAATAGATGCAATGTGTAGGAATGTGTCTTGTTCGATACTTTCGGAGTAAGTGCAATTGAAACGTTGTGAACATTGAAAAACCAGTGACGTGAGCCGGCAGGCTGTGTAAGGACATACAAAGTGAACAACTGCATAGTAATAAAACAGTGAGACTCATGAAACCAATCGGTGGTGTATACAACGTACGTGGTAGTCTTCTGCTTCATAAAAGGCTGCATCTCTTTCTTACAAAAATGAAATTGCGCGTGATTTTGGACAAAATGAACGCGTGCCGGTTAAACACATAAATCACGAAGTACAAAGGAGCGGCACTAAATAAGGTACATACCTTGTGCTCGTTTAGCCGTTTGCGGGCGAGCTCTAGTTCCGATGATTTCCGGTCAAATGCACCTTGCAGATTTGATATATTCTGATCGAATCTGGTTAGGAGCTGTCGCGCATTCGAGAGAGAGTTTTCAGAGGCGGTGAGGGAGCCGATGGAAGCAGCGGAGCACACTTGATCCACTCGTTTCTTTAAATCACGAAGAAGATTGGTCTACAATGAGATTATTGGAGCTCGCTGCTAGTGGAAATAACACCGTCGTTTGGATCAAGTTAAGATGTAGTGGATAAGATCCGGAACAACAGATTGGTGTCAAACCAGGGGAAACAAGACGGGTGAAGGAACTAATAACTCTCATTCCAGAAAGGCTACTCGATACAGATACAGATACGGACAGTAGTGGCGCAGAAACCGAAACACCTGGAGGGACGACAATGATGTAGCGGTTATTAAGGTTTTTGTTAGTAATCCAAAACGCGACCCACTAAAATAAAAACCGACGCATCAGTCCAAGGGCCCGACGAAGAGAACGAAAAACAAATCTGATCTGACTTCATTCAATGATAAAATAAAATAAAGGTGTGAAAATAGCTCAATGTTATCTCACTGATTGTCTGCGAGTCAATTTCAACCGAATTGGGCATGTGTGGAAAAAAGAAAATCTAATCTTTTGGAATGAAGGTAGTGTCTTAAAGCCATGTTCAATAGGGAAAAACGATTTATTGGGAAATCTAAGTAACGTAAAAGTACAGTATAGCCTGTTCGTGTGCTCCCCCAATACTGTTAATAGCGGCATAGCTTCAATTAAACTAAAATCGGTAACCTTCATGCAATCACCAGAGCTTAGCGGGGCCAGTAGCCGAAGTCGTACGGGTAGCATCTCATCGGCAACCTCGTAGATCTCGTTGGTCCACCTGGTACATCCAATACACTACTGCCATCGCACGAATTTAAATAGAAAGAATGAAAAGCCGTTTTCACAAATGGAATCAGAAGGCGGCGGCACTTCAATGAACATTTTTACTTTATATAAGTTCTGAAAGAATATTTTTAACATCAATTTTGTCCCAGGTGCTTCCAAGGTCACCAAGACCGTCTTACCTTCCATATGTTGAATACTAAGTCGAGATATCGAGCACTATTCACGACTTAATGCTTTTGGCCATGAACTTCTAGTCCCGTTGAAACTAATTCTGAAGAAATATCTTCGTATGACACCATTCTCCGATGAAAATAACCCGAGAATTCTGGTTATCAATTTGCGCTTAGTGCCCCAGAATGCAGATCTTTTTACTCGTGCGACAGCAATGCATTCTTTCCTTTCGTTTATCCATTTATAAAATATTGCAATTCTGATCGTCGTTTTGTTGCATTCGCAGTTGATACTGTAAATTGATGAAAATGTACCCATCCAGGTACATAAAGCTTATCTTGACTTAACTGACTTGACTAGAACACAGGTGACGCGAAGTTCGTCTAATACTGTAGTCACAGAAAAGAAACGAATTGTCGGTGGATTCGATTCCAATAAATGCGATAGCCTATAGCGAAGCTTAGCCAAAGCAGGACACCGGAGTATTTCCAGCAATGCTAAATCTTCATCAGATTGAGCCTCGTGTCAAGGTAAAGTGAACAGTAAGTCAGTATATCACTTTTGTTGGCAACTTACAAACAAGAACACTACCATCCAAACCATCTTACTAAAAGCCGTGTTAAGATAGCAAGCACCAGCACGCTTGTTATCTTAACACATCCTTTAGTAAGGTAGTTTGGATTGCAGTGTTCTTTTTTCTTGTTTGTAAGTCGCCGACGAAAAAGTGACATACTGACTTACTTAGAGATAACACAGACCTTAGTAACACCTGAAGCCAATCGTATGCGTTGTAGAAGTGATGGTGAAGAAAGACTCAGACAGTGTTGCTCTCTTCGTGTTATACTCGGTACCTTTGAAGTGCGAGGTAATGTAACGGAATGATGACCGATGCACCACCTGTTTCCAGGATCATGACAGAGGTGGGTTAGGTCACAGGTCTAGAAAGCAAAGAATAGAATATGTGGATTTTCGGGACCACGAGAAGCAATGAAGATGGAAAGACGCCAGTGTATCACACAAATGTTAGAGGCAAACGCGGTAGGAGATGAGGGGTGCCTGGTGAGCAATGAAGACAATGTTAGACTAATGAGGCCAATGTGTACTATTGGAGATGAAGACACTTCACCTGGTTCTACTGTTGGTATACTTTTATGAAGACAGTTGTTGAGCAAAGTCCCTCCTTTAGCTAAAAGACTATGAGGCAATCATTCGTTTATGCTATGTCGAGATGAGCCGTCTCAAGTGAACGGTTAATGGAATGTAAGGAAAAAGATGACTAGAAAGTTGTTCCAAGTTGTTGCGCGGAGTCCACACGGTCCGGGTCGTAGAGAAGTAACGACACAGTGGTCAGTTGCACAAATAGAGACAACACCACAGAAGCACCGCTTTTGTATCCGCCCACAGCAAGAGATTGACACGCCCTGCAAGACTCAGTTGCTCAAGGTTTGCTACCTCAGGATACCGAGATGAAAATGGACGCCGCACGAATACCCGCGACTCCAAGAGAAAACAGACAGTGACAATGATCCCAAGCGCTTATGCAGTGTAACTAAAAACAATACATGGTCTGTACACCCTGATATTTATAGCACGGTCAGCCTCGTTACCAGGTGGTGTGATTGCCACGTGACATAATTGCCACCCGATAGCATTGCCACGAGGAGATCACGCAACTGGTGACCGGGCAACAGTGTGTCGCGAGGAGAACGGAGATAATTGCCAGTTAATAATGTTGACAGTGGTAACGCATTGTACAAACGTCCCAGGGGGGACAGAATGGTGAAACTGGAGGCATGCAGTGTGAAGAGTTTGTAGAACGATGAGGCCTGCATATTAACGTTTTTAGCTTCACTGGTGTGAAAGGATTTTTACTTCAAAACTGTCATCTCATCACAGTAACATGAGATATAGCAAGCTGGTCTACATAACTCTGGTCACTAGTTGGCAGGCGACAAACCGAAACAGAATGGGTTGCAGTCATCATGACAATTATTGGATCATCTTAGTGTAACTTCAGGGTACTTCGAACACAGACTCCTGTAATGACACGGAAATCTAACAAAAGTAAACCCAAAAGAGATAATGCTAAAATGCGAGGGTATGGAATTGCGTAGGCCGAAAGCAGAAATCAGGTGTGAACACAGGACAAAGAATGTACCGATGGAACTTCACATGGAGATAAATAACCGCATGCTCAAGGATAATTGGTGAAGTGAAATGTGCAGGAGCCCGTTTTTCTCAATCGCTGATCAAAAACGCCAGCGGTGCAATGTACAAGATGTGAGGCAGTACACATGGCGAAGGGATAATGCAACGTCTGGTACACTAGAGACCAGTCTAGTAGGTTAACGAGAATTAAAATTCCAAAGAAAAAAGATAGTTTCATTCCGTAGTGCTGGATAACCGACCAAGCATGGTGCGCATGCGTGAAGTAGTAACGTAGCTGACAACCAAGAAGGAACAGGCTTGTCTTGAGAAAAAATGATAATACAAGCATTTAGCCAGATACTCAGATGGATCAGCTACATAGATAAAGTTCTGTCTTAGTCGTGCACATCGGAACGAAGAAAAATAAACTACGGTGGTGAAATGGGATCAGAAAAACCGCATTTCGATCACTGTGTTTCTTAATTTTTATTTCTCAAAGAGTTAATTTTGGTGGAGCATTATGCACTCATACTGAGCCAAACTACGAGCAAATGCTAAAAAATAAAAAAGTTTTTACAGTAAGAAAAAAGAGATAAGTCAGTCAGCCTACGTAATCTACTGAAAACCTGAGCCAAAATACTAGCCAGGAGCCGCCGATATAAGTGGTGCAAGAAAAAGTGAAGTCGCTATTGTGGTGCACAGCAGCATAAAGAGTAAATAACATCGATAGCTATTAAGTGATAGTAACACATCTATTGTCGCGAGATTCCGTTACCGATTCCAGGTCCTGTTAAACTTGATTTCAAGACAAAGTAGGCATGACGATTGAAAGAAGACTGGCTGAAGAAACAATAAAAATAGGACAGGGAGGTTACTAAGTAATAATCCTGTTGGGAAGTGAAAAGAGAGGTCCGAGTAAATTTCAAATGAAATTCGTCACCATTATAGTCAGTCAAGCAATCACCACATATCGAGCAAATCACTGAACAAAACTCGTCAGTAGTTCAAATTTCAGTTGGTCAGCTAAGTGGTGAGGACGCCAACACTCAGTGTTATGGATGGCCCAAATATCCACAAATAAACGTCAACCGGAGTGGTTCGGTGGTGAGGAAGATTGGATCAGATTGGTGTTGACACGCGCCCCCGAACAGCTGATACGTCAATGGCACTGTTATATGTGGTCCTCGATTGACAACTATTAACCATTACTTTCAACGAGGCATCTTTCGACCGACAGTTTCTGTCTGTCATCACTTCTATCGCGAATATTCAAGTGACTGAAAACCTGCATGAGACTCGACCGAAGTATGACGCCCAAACCATAGTTGTTCAGGTGAGCAGAATCGAAGTGAATCTAGGAGTATGGTGCAGATATGCGGTTTGGAGTGTGAGGTCCAAATGTTATTTTCAGGTTGAATTAGTTGGGTACGTTGAGAATTACCGAACTCGAAGTGTAGATAGCACCACCGATATTAAATATGTTGTAGGAATGAAAACACAAAACTATGAAGGAAACTAAGATGGTAAGGAAATCGTACAGTTTACACATGGACAGGGGAGTCCACAAGAAGTCACCTAGATGGTTGACTCGAATTTAAGTAAGCCACTCAGTGACGTTCCCGCTCTTAATACCATTCGTCAATGCCAGCTGTAGCAAAGAGGCTAGGTAGAGTAATTGGATGAGTCCGTTTCGAAACGGCTCTTACCCCATCGAACCGTAAGTACAAGCAACGCTAACTCAGAAAAGAGATTCAAAAAGTCACGATTCCAAGGATTGGTGCAACGCGTCGGATTAAGCAGTATGGAGGAAGGAACGGTAACATAATAAGCACATATATGAAGCCCATGAAAATCACAGACCTATATCTTCAAAGATGCCATCGAACACTTAGTCAGCAATAAATCCAGAAAACTATATGCAAGACTCATAAAGACTAATGACTTTTCTCTGATCTTACAAGTGCACGAATTTATCAACAGGGTCAAACATATGCAGTTAACGCGGCGAAAATATGAAGAACATATATCCCTTCAAACAAGCTGTAAGGCAAGGGAACTTGTCGAAATACTACTCCTTTGAGTACTGAAATTGGTGACAGTGAAGGCCAATTACACCATGACCTAGCTTCAAATTGTGATGCATTTAGTTTCTTCTTCGACACTTCTATGAGCCTCGAAGATTACCGGGTATCTATTTACTCTGAGTTTGCAGTGAAACGTCATAAGCAGAGTTGACATTTCGCTCAACGGTATCCAACAAGTTATTGAGTCAACCAGATCATCCTCCAAGCTGGGATCTGATGGCATTGCACCATCCACCAATACACTATGGGGGCCTGATATGCCGCTATTACTGATGAACATGTTCACCCGTTTGCTGGAATCTAGCCATTGCAGAGCAATTTAAAACATCGTTTATCATAACTCGGCACAAAGGTCCCAAACAAAAGGTTGAGAACTACCTATCAATCCACCATACTTCAATAATCGCCCGGTAATAAGAAAAACTGATCAACAAAGCTTGAGGAACGGTCAATTCTTTAGGCCAGATACATAATTGGCAGGATGGCTTTCATGACAAGCAATCGTGTATCACTTGTCAATTGCATTACCTGATCTACATTTCGGAATCTATCGAATCCGGTTGTGCAGTAGTAATTCCTGTTCTAGACATACACCAAGCAATCGACCAGGTAACTCACCAACGACTTTTAAAATAGTTAGTCCTTTTGGATTCGGGACTTATTACTTAAATGGTCGCCACCATGTGGTCACTTTAGGCGACTATCGCTTATCTCCAGTGGGGTCATAAACGGCAGCGTGCTTGGTACTTAAATATTCTACCGTGTTCGAAACGCTTGAATCCCTTACAGCACTGCGTGCGACTCATACAGCCCTCTCTGTATGTTTAGCTGAGCAAGTAAAGTATCACTGTAAAAATTTTGCCAACTTTGTAGCAAAACTTCACACGCACGCGTTGTTCCTTCAAGCTCTTTCATGGTCTCTCTGGCCTTAATTCGACGAACAGCTTGTGCACGTGTCCATTACAACGACTGTAGCTCGCCAACTAACAGCCAAAGCGAAATGTGGCTAATGGCAGTTTGTTGTTTAAACAAGTCCCTATGTGACCTTGGTAGCTGCAGCGCGCTCCCTCTGCCGGTTGGCGTGATATTTCAAAGTTTGATTCCTTTTTGAACACATCTCGTATTTTAGCGAGTCACAGCGTCTAATATAAAGGGTAAATCGAACATTCTGGGACGGTATATAAAGGTCATGTAGAAACATCCAGGACGGTCAAATTACGATCAGCCAAGCAATTCCGCTCTCGAGCTATCGGCCAGTTCAGCCAGTTGGCTACATAAATAAATAAATAAATAAATGTTTCAGCTTAAACAATGCGAGACACCGCTGCAAGGGCATGATGGTGGTGATTCAAACACTAAGGACTGGTAAATGTAAACAACGGTACAAGTTTATTAGTAGCATATGGATCCATGTAATAAGTGTTTGTGAATGTATGTAGGTAAGAATGTGTGGATATGTTGCTTGAGTCTTTACATGTGACGCCGTAGTTGTGACTGATTTCGGTCAGGTCGTCAGCATGAGAAAAGGTGAAATGAAATCTTCGTATTCGATTGGATACTGTTGGATTGGGTACTATCATCCCGACAAGGAGGAAGTGAATTTAGTTAATGGAGAGTCACATTCGTCACGTCGCAGTGTTGTTGAGTAGACATGTGCGGCTCTTTACAGAGAGAACACGTACCAGACGGAAAGCCGCCGAATCATTCGCTGGAACGGGATTAAGCAGAACCACCCAGCTAGCACCACGTGGAGGTAGTTCGGCTTTAGTTCCATATCGGCAGTTGGCGCCTTGGTTACTTGTTAAGAGATTTCCTGCACCAAACAGCTTCAACCACCTACTAAAACGCTACTACATTAAGCTTATTGCTCAATATTGCACATATGCATATCGCCCAGGAAAAAGCATGATCAATTTTGTACATATTGATATGTGCCACTACCTCGAATCACGAGAAATATAGATAATAATAATAATAGAATAATAAGAATATTATTATTAGTAGTAGTAACAGCTACATCATGCGATCAGCAGGTCATACACAAAGTGATTGTTGTAGTATTTGTGAGTACATGGTGCGGCCACAAAGGGAAGAACGCGTATAATTAAAATATCGACCTATGCCGCGAATACATGTTTGAGAGGCAGTTACGTCCAACAACACGAAGAGAAAAACGCGTTGCTGAAGCGGAAACTAACCTTTTGAGTCTGTTGTTCAAGCTCCTTTTCTCGTATCGCGCTGCCTTGTTTCAATTTCTCCCTAGCTGAATCACGCGCTTGCATGGCTTTAGGCAGATCATCCGACTGCAAAGCCGACAGCTTGCGCCGCAGACGCTCAAGTAGGTCAGATAAACGAACGGCCTCTTCTCTGAGGCGCGTGTTCGCCTGATTCTCCTGCTCCAACTGAAGTAAAAACAAACTACTGATCAAGTAGGCAAAGACATAAAGTTGTGCAACGCGTCTGAAAAGCGGATGAATCTATAGACGTAACATCACTCAAGACATGTTCAATCTAATGGATGTTATAAATGAGACAGAGAAAGTTAGGGAGAGAACACGAAGCATGATAGTGATGTAAATTGTAGGCACTGCAAGAAAAAGAGCATTGTTGATAAACTGAATAAATGCGGGTTGAAAATGATGAACAACACATGTGAAAAAGGAAAAAAGTCTAAAAGGTAGATCACGGCATGCCGCACTTTTCATGGGGCGAAAGTACAAGTTCGTAATTTTAAGGCATACATTAGAAGATTCTGGACAGAATCTACATGGTTCTTAAAGACAGGTAAATCAGAAAGATGTAGATGAAACAAAATATCTAAACGCTCTCTGAAATCAAGCAGGGTAATAAGTGAAGACACGCCACGCAACAGGAGCTATCATCAGGACGCATTCTTTTTGCCTTCATACACTGGCTCTGGCCCCACAATTGTATTCCAACAGTTCGAAGTCTGACGGCAACCTAAGAAGTCCAACTCAATGAAGGCTAGTGCGCCCGATATTCTTTCACCAATAGTTTTGAAGGATTGCGCTGATATCCTTGCTATGTCTTTCACAGATTTATTCCAAACATTGCATAGGTGGGACTATTTTCGTCATTTGCAGAACTGTGAAGATAACGGCAAGCCAAAAGAACCCCTGAAATTCTGTCTGATCCCTCTACATCTGTTAAGCTAAAAATCATAGGGTTGTATTTTTGATTTCTACAAGCATGCTGGCTGGCGATCTATCTCAGCTTGGCTACAGACAACGAAGTTCCATGTTGGATGCCGTAGCATATCTCGTGTAATCAATCGCATTTGCATCGGATGGGAAATGCAAGACTGCGCAGCTCCTGTTCTTCGAGTATTGCAACACTTTTGGAAGTTTGGAATAAGATCGAAAATTAGTAATGCAGATGTTCTGGTGGCAGACGAACTGTTCGCTGAGTTTGGTAAATTTATTGCAAACGTTTTATCACCAATCAAGGTGACTTCATCAGTGCGTTGTTGAGTAGCGTGTAGAAAGTGGCATAGCGTAAGGAAGCACTCTCATTGATGGAACAATGGTGTATTACAGGTAAAAAAGCAATGCTTAACAAGTCCCGTGAGATGGAAATTATTGCGCATGATAAAGAGAACATCATTTGGTGGACTCACCATAGACTTAAGTATAATAGCGGAGATGTTCGCGTATTAAAAGTATAAATCCATAAATCCACAGGTTGGGAGTTCGGTAAGACACCGTTTGATTGCGTTTTGTTGACCCTGGCTAACAAGTTGTAAAATGAAATGCCAATGAGACAACGCATCGTCAACTCCTTTTTTACATATTGCCAGGTTGGGAGCAGAAACAACATAATTACGGTGGGCGTTTCAAGTCTGGCACACAGAGAGGGATAAGAAATTTCTATGACATTCAAGCCGGCTATACTGTATTGTCAGTTTCAGAGGATGATTTCTTTGGTTAGCGCTGTTGTTCAATTCCAGCAGCGGACGGCAAATATGGTTTGGATTCTCTAGAACCTGGTAAACCATTATGAGATCCCCCGCCAAAACCGATATCGATTGCTGGACATACTTAGAGATTTCAAGCTAAGCTGATAGGGCAGATGAAAGAGGCCCCTGAGGTTCTTGGATGCCCTTCGTTGAGGAGTCTCCAGGGCAACGAGATCCTGTTTCTGCCACGGCTGTCACGCCCGGATAGCATAATCCACGTGCGGTCGCACGTAGGTGTTAAGCATTTGGGCAAAGATTGAGGGTTCAAACCGACCAAACGCTTTGCGAAAAAGAACGAAGTGTTGATTGCCGGTCCTCGACGCCTTCTCTGCATGTTTTGGGTATCCGAGATCTTTCTATACCAGTACATCTAGGTCACGCTCCTGAGAGGCCTTCTGCAAGGTGTGGTCTCCAAGCTTGTAAACGTTTGCCGGCTGATGACGCAGATGGATCACCTTGCACAAATCAATGTTCAACTGAAGCAAGTTGCTCGTTGACCATTCATAAATGCAATCTAGATCCCATTGTAGTAGAACGTGATCTTCATTGTTACTAATCGCCCGCCATATCTTGACGTCATCGGCGAAAAGCAGGAAATTTGAGATAACTCTTACCAGGTCGTTGAAAAACACCAGAAACAAGCGCGGTCCCAGCATTGTGACCAGTGAGACACCATATTGCATCTCAATCTGGTTAGAGAGTGATCCCCTGACGCGTACTTGAAGCTACAGTTGGTGAAGAAAATTGACAATACAACCAAGAACAGGATCTCCCATTCCGTAGCTCTGTAGCCTGTGAAGTAGGATGTGGTGATTCAGATGGTCGAAAGCTTTGGAGAAGTTCAGATAGATGACGTCAACTCCGACCCCATCAGCAGCCACTTCCGTGCAATCAGCAGGGGTGGTGGTGCATGACCGGTGTTGACGGACGCCATGCTGCTCCGGTGCCAAGAGGTTGCATTTTTCCATGTAGTCCATTAGAGTCTCAGCGACGACCGCTTCCATCACCTTCGAGGACAGAGGGAGGAGAGTCACTGGGCAATAGTTTGCAGGTTCTGAACGGCTACTGTCTTTAAAAATTGATAATACCAAGCTTCCACATAGTGAAGACTTGACTTTGGAAGAACTGTGACCGCGGTTCAGCTAGCTTGGTGGCTGCAGCCTTTAGTGTTTTCGGGCAGATGTTGTCTGCTCCCGGAGAGCTATGATCGCACAGTGAGATTAACTTCTTTAGCACAATTGCTGGGTTGAAAATTACATGTGCAAACCATTGAGTCGGTAATGTGGTTGACGGTATGTGACAGGTAAGGCCTGCGAGTTGGAAAATTGGGGCGTATTGTAGCTGCAGGGCATTAGCACCTTCTTCGACGTCTTGTACTCGACCGCCTGTCATGAAAAGTGGAGAGATGTCATGCTTCACATTACGATTGTTGCCATGCGTATAAAGCAGCTTGCTGTTTGCCAGGAAATGTTTGCCTACACACTGTTGATAAACTACTTTGTCCTCACGGACAAGTGCAGCGCAATGGTTGCGATGGGTCAGGAAATTGTCCCAAGTCTCTGAGTCAAGGTTAACATTGTAGGCACGCCATGCGACATCCCTTGTCGCCATGTATTTTTCGAGTCCTGCTCCTTAGAATCGAAGGCATTTTTGCAGGACGAAGGGGCTTAGTCTCTGATGCTCTGTTGACCATGTCGCTGAGTCTTTCAACGAACTCTGCACAAACGTTTACAAGGGTACAACCTGAGCAACCAATTTTCGTTCTTATTCCAAACCAATTTGGGCGTACAACACTACAGCAATCTCGTCGTTTGGAAACTTTTGTCTATCGACAAGCATGCACACGCGAACAGCTCTAATTCCTTCATGAATGCTTGAAAAGGAAGGTACTCCCAGCGAGCACCAGGCAACTTCATCGTGTCTTTCCTAAGCTACGCTAATGGCTACATGCTACTAAACAACGCACTGATGATGTCACCTCGATGCGTGATGAAACGTATGCAACTAACTTGCTAAACTCAGCGAACAGTTTGTCAGCCACTTCTGGAAGTACAGGCCCAACATAGTGAGACTGGACCTTATAGTGGCGCTGGGGTTTGCATGCCTCAATGAATTATTGAGCTGTGCTGGGTAGTGCTTCTTGCATCTTCATGGTCACCCATACCAGATTGGTCAATGATTAGAAGCCAAACAAACAGCCTCCTGGTTCTGCATGTTGCGGGTCTGTGGCAACTGCGCGCTCCGAGTTCACTTGTTTCCTACTGGTTGGACTCACTGGCGCCAAGGTGTGTCAGTATGATACAAATAATCAATGGTTGAACCGTTTGATGCCAGACACAACTCCTTTTACGTACTTCCGGGACTGACGTGTTTTGCTGTCTTGGGCTACGAGCCGAACGCAGCGTTCTACTGAGAGCTGTAGTTCCGTGCAGGCCGTTGTAGAACAGTTGCAGTAAGGGTTGTTCTTAATTCCTCAAAACGGACTCTCGGTAGCTCAATGCCAAACTCGCGCTGTTTCGCGGCAAGCTTTTAGAACCAAAGGCTTTGGTTGAGAACCCTAAAAGTACTCCTGCCTGGATCTTGAAAACTTGACAGTGTCATGCCCACGCAATACGATGAACTTCTCCTCAGTAAATTTCTTGTTGTTTTGGCCGTCGCACCTTATGGGCTGCATCGAGAGAGGCATATAAGTGCGGATGTTAACGTTCAGGCCTACTCGTCTTCTTATTTCCCCTCTAGTGTCATTTCATCTTTATCGTCCTCTTTCAACTTCACGTATATTCCTCTATTACCAATCCCCCAATTATCAGCCACCCACCACCTTGATTTCACTGGTGCTCGGTGGATACACAGGATCGGTGTCGGTGCGTAAGAAGATTAAACAATGCTTAGAGGAATTCTCTTCCTTTATTCGTCTCCGCTTATGTCGGAATCGCCGACTTGATTTATTCAGTTATGCTGTTCCTCTCCAAAGTGCGCGGACATCAATGGTGATACGTAACGGTTTCGCAGACTCGTTTGTGCTCTTGTATTCTTCCGCAAAATTTCCACCCTGTTTCCTTTACATAATTCGCACAATTTTGATCTCTACTTTGTGAATGGCATTTCGAAGTGTGCTTCCGTTTTCTCTTTCAGGCTAGACAATTAAGAACTGTCAGAGGATCAGCAGAGTACCGTACGAAAGGTCTAATCTGAGTAAAGCTCAGCCACTATCGATTGAAACACACACACACACATATATATATATATATATATATATATATATATATATCATTCTTGATGCTTCTTCACCGCAGTTGGGCTAAAACAACTTACACTTAAACTAGGTCTCCTTAAGCTGCAGAAATTTCATTTCAGTTTATTTGGTTTGTTTTGCCTATCTGGATAGTCTTCTATTAGCTGGCCACGTTGCTTACGCTAATTGCGCTTATCTTCGGTAATTTTGTTGCGTTTGTAGCATTTTTGAGTAATTTGGGGATATTATTTTTCCTTATCGCTGATTCATTGCTAACAAAATTACTTCATATGCTAATTTAGCGAAGAGTTATACCACCGTATCTGTATGCATTATTAGATTTATTTTATTTCATTTTGTCGTTTCAAGTGATTGACTGTTGCTTGATATCCCCGATGTGGCTGCGCTTGATGTGCATGTTGACAAGGTGTCTACCTGTCTATCACCCACTACCTCGTCCATACTGGCTCCAGGAGACAGTTGGTCGTTGCTGGAGAGGACGCGGTGCACGGTCCTTGTGGCCGTGCTAGGCTCGAAGAGTTGTTTAATGCATTCAGTGTGGAGCGGACTACGGGCCAGCCACCGCCTTGTGTGCGCTTGATTCCCCAAATACAGTGTGCTTGTGTTTGCCTGTGAAGGAGTGTGGGACGGCTCCGTTGATGAAACGTGGCTCACATTCACATGCCTCCCGGTCTTATTCCTTCGGGTTTACACTGGATATGAGGTGTGTGGTTAGAGCTGTGGATAGTGAAGCGCAAGCCACCCATGGTCCCTCAGTAGGCGCCGGCGTCCTGTGGCTGGCCACAATGACAGGCAAGTCCGAAACCGGATGCCGATAACCATATATATATATATATATATATATATATATATATATATATATATATATATATATATATATATATATATATATATATAGGTCGGCGGGGAGCCTATGGTGCGCTGAGGCTGGTGGTGTCTAGATCCTGATAGATGATCTACCCACTGCTGTTACTGTTGCGTC